AGAGGAAAAGACCTCACAAAAATGAGGTCAACATGAGGGTGTAGATGGTGGCATTGAGAAATGGAGTGGTCGAACATATGACAATTCGAGTAATACGACGGGAAATGTTCAATCACAATCTTTTGCCAATATCCATGGTGTTGCGTGCCTGACCAAATTTCCTCAGACGCGATTGAAGTGATGTTTCTTTCAACAAGTACCTTGGTTTCAGAAGGACGAGAGAGATTAAATGTAGGAATGTCCAAAGATTAAAAGTATGAATGTCCATTTTGAGTGACTTATCATAGGCTGAGACAATAGAGTACAAAACTTTTTGAGTGAAATAATAAAATTTTAGGTCAGAGAGGAGAATCCAGACCGAAATGATTAGTGGTTCCATCTGTGGGTCAAAATACACCGACCATTTCAAAATCTTCATAGCTCTATTATCAATCCAGATTAGACTTCGAGCAAATAAGCGTGTGTAATTCTCTTTATTATTTAGTTGAATTAGAATGTGACTTCTATCTAAAAGTCTAATTTTCCACTCCCCAACAAGGTGCATACCTTTAAATTCTTTTTGAATAAGTTCCATTTTGGGATGCCCATAAAGAAATTTTTTAACCAAATTCAGACGACAGGAGGCAAGCTGATTACATTCAGCTTCCGTAAAAAAGATAATTGGCTTCCCATTTTTTCTACCAGGTTTCTTAATATCCTCCGCCAACTCAAACGAAGGAGAGAAAGAACACGATTTAAGAGTACCTGAGGCATGTACAACCGCAAGGGCAGCAATATACGATCTGTCTAAAGCCCCAAAAGAGGGAGGCGCAACGAAAGGGCAACAAAATTATAGTGGAGTGAACGGAAGAGCCCCGTCCAAGTCGAAACAGAGGGCAAAAAAATTATGCTTCGAGCCTAATGAAATCATGGGTCGACGAAATACGAGCCGCAACCGACTTGGTAACAGTAGGAAATCGCTGCAACAAACAGAGACCCGAGGAAGAAGACGATGAGCGAGCACAAAGAAGCCAGCAGAAGAAGAAACATTTGAAACAGGAGAATTTAGACGCGCAAACAGTTCGCCGTCGAGCATGACGAAGCTAAAGGAGCGAAAAAAATGCAGAAATTAGAACAGGATTTCGCCCGATGGCGAAAACCTAGCAGAGCAGCCCGCCGACACCGACGCCATTATGGTCATATATGTATGTAAACCAGTGTCAAGTGCCCCCACAATATAAGACCCCTAATGTGCCTAACAATTCAAGTATCCATTTCCTTAAGGCCAACGTGCCAAAGGGGATTCGAACCCCTGACCTAAGGGGTTTTATACCGTGGATGTCAACCAACAGGTCGGGGAACGCGGAACTATACACCAAATAAAGTTTAGACGTTAGATATGTAAATATATATGGATTGGGTGGTATGCATGTAAATGTCCCTAATTAGGAGCACAAAAGAATTGAAAGCAAATAATTTAGAATAACACAAACATGGCAAATGTGATAAGTTAATTTTAAATGAAAGATAGCTTGCATTCAGTTTTTTTCTATTTTATTTTGGCCAATTACAGGGCAATCATATAAATTTCCTAATGTTCTGTTCTTAGTAATCACTATTTCCAAATGTACACATAGTAAATGTTTGACTGAACTGTTTCTGTGAAAAGATCAATATTAAACATACCTGCAAAAGCCACTGAGTAGCAGAAAGCTGCATGATAATCAATATTCAGAGTAACTGCAAAAAGGAAGACCTGCAATTGTTTAATCCAGAAGAAAAACACCATATAATTAATTCCAATGCAGCAAACTTAATAGCATTTGTAAATTCATGGGCACAATTTCTTGCTGGGAAGTTTGCATACATACCACGCAATTCTTATAAACCCTAAGCATGAAAGTTGTGTGGTGTGTTTGTAAATGCCCCTTTCTAGTTTCAATGTAAATGTATTGCATTTATGAACAAATCCAGATTACTCTAAAAAATGTACAGAATGATTCTTGAAAATATCAGAGGCTCGAGGCTTACCTTAGAATAGAATAAGAGATCAGCAATGAAAGCCTCCCAAGTTTCCTCTCTGACAAACTACACACCATTATAGCAAACACTGAACTTAATCATCACAGGACTGAATATAAATTTATAAATCCAATAGAATCTAAAATCCCAAAGTTCCGATTGATAGGATTAAGCTAAATGCTGCTAAACAAAACACGATACCTTCACCGCAGTTAACACTGAGAACGCAAGGACTGCTTGAATCTCCTGTAAGAAGATGGAATATCCGGCGATCGTAAACAGATATAGTTGCAAACTCGAATCTATATATATATATATATATATATCATTATTATGTGTAATGCATACTATCTAAAAGTTATAGTGATATTTATTATCGAAAGATTACGATGGCATAAATGTAAAAAAAAAAAAAAAACTTAGCTTAGATGTTAGATATGTAAATACATAAGAATTGAGTGGTATGTATTAGCAAGCCACATATTACTGTAAGTAGAGAGAATACTGCAAACGACAGTGAACAAACTAGGAGGAAGGCATTTCCAAGAAGATGCAAGTTTACTTCAAACGAGCACTAATGGATTTTGCTGCTCAGCATACATTGACAATGAGGAGGGGATGGTTGTTCATCAATGAGCAGAGAAAAGATTCTGCCACGTTCAGTGTCCGTTGATCAATGAGAAGGGAATTTTCTGCCCGGCATGCGAAGCAGAGAGAACGTGGAGAAGATGTTGCCCAATAAAAATGTAATATGTAATGACTCACTCCGAAAAATATAAATTTTCTTGGCACGTATATGGTAATTTGTTCAAAAGAAAAGCTGGTTTTCACCATCCTCTCTCCCACTCCCCCTCTCTTTACATTGACGCAGAGAGAGAAAGAGAGTCCTTCAATAGTAAACTTCATTGAAGATCAACTTTCCTTTTGAAAAGTTTACCACATTTGCGACAAAAAAATTTATATTTTTGTGGGTAAATCATTACTAATTATTTTATCAGGAAACATCTTCTCCACAGTCTTCTCTGCTTCGCACGCCAAGTAGAGAATTCCTTTCCCTTTGATCAAGGGACGTAGAACACGACAGAATCCATTCCCTCCTCATTGACAACTTACATTCTCTCCTCATTGATCAACTGACACTAAGTGACAAAATCCATTAGAGCTCGTATGAGGAAAGTTAAGTCTACTCCTTATTCCTTGAAACACCTTCCTCCTAATTTGTTTGCTGTTGTCCACAATATTCTCTCAACTGTCATATGTGGCAGTATTGTAGCATGTAACTTGTTAATATAAACCACCAAATTCTTTATGCATTTATATATCTAACATCTAAACTTAGTTTTTTTTCATTTGTACCACCCTTATCTTCCTATAAAAAATATCACTACTTTAACTTTTAAAAAGTATGCATAAATATAATGGCATTTATATAAAAACAATAAAATTTAGTTATTAGATATATAAATACATAAGAATTTAATGATATCTGTGTAAATCTTCTTTTTCATTTTAATAAATACTATTTTTACTGAAATCAACATATTAGAGTCCAACTCTAAAATAAATATCATAAAACAAACAACTTAACTTTATTAAGAGAGAGCAAAGTTGCTGGTGCTAATTGGCATTTGGGGTTAGAACAAGAAGAAATAAATTCTTTTGAACAAAATAGAGGAACTAAGAAGTATCCAGCCTAGAAGAATCCAGCCTGATGTAGAAAAAATCTGGAATAAATAAGATTTTAAGATGATAAGAAGGAAATATCAGATACTTCCTCTGCAAACTAAACAAGAAATGTTATCACTGAGTGTGATCTAAGCATGTTTTCTAGTGTTACACGTATAAAAAAAAAAAGAAGTAACATTTCAGTAAAAAGTATATTCACGGCACATGTAATAGTGACGATATTACCAAATAAAAACAAGAAAATTTTATATGTATAACACTCAATTCATACATATTTAGCACCGACATTTCAATTTCTACATACATACGACCTTACATGCTTCCAAATAAAAGTAACATTTCAGTAAAAAGTATATTCACGGCACATGTAATAGTGACGATATTACCAAATAAAAACAAAAAAAATTATATATGTATAACACTCAATTCCTATGTATATACATATTTAGCACCGACATTTCAATTTCTACATACATACGACCTTACATGCTTCCAAATAAAAGTAACATTTCAGTAAAAAGTATATTCACGGCACATGTACTAGCGACGATATTACCAAATTAAAACAAGAAAATTTTACATGTATAACACTCAATTCCTATGTATATACATATTTCGCGCCCACATTCCAATTTCTACATACATATAACCTTACATTAACATGAAAATGCATACTTCACTTTTAAAAAGTTAAAATAATGATATTTTTGACATGATACAAAAGATTTGGGTGGTATGTAAGTAAAAAAGCAAAATTTAGGTGTTACATATGTAAATATATAAGAAGTGTGTGGTATGTATGTAAATGCCCCTAAAATTAAACTATGAAATCTTGCGACTTACATTGGATACTTCAACTGATGTGAGCATGATTTCAGGTGCAGGGTCTCCGAAATCTAGCTGTCCTTTCAATTCCAAATTACGAGCAGCTAAAGGCCTGACAGGAATTTCAGGAGGAGGGCCAAAAATATCATGGCCACTAAGCTCTTTGTTCTTTGCATCAGATTGTTGTTTTTTCATTTTATCCTCTACAGCACTCTCAAGATTCCCACTTAATTCCCGTTGCTTTGCCACCTCTGGTAGTGAGGTGGGTTTCCTTGGGGAAACAATCTCGTCAGCACTAAACGAAATTTGGCTGATACTGCTTATTGCTTGCTGAATCAAATAAGAAATTGAATTTTAGCCTTGCAGAATATTGAGAATGATTCATTGAAAAATGATTATATAAATTTGACTGGGGCAATTAGATATGTATGATGAGGGATAAAAAAATGAATTCATAAAAGGATATATACAATTAGTTTAGAAGAATTATGAAGAAAATTTTATGGCCTTGCTTGGTTGCAAGTATTCTGAACTCGTGCATTATAATGCAAAGTACATGCAATGTGGTATGATTATTTAGAGTTGTTTGATTGCATTTAATGTAAGCGCAGAAAATTATATTTTCTATTTAATTGGAGGTAAAGTTCAAAGTCTGATACACCACAAGAAGTATAAGAGTATTAAAGAGCATTAACATAAAAAGAGTTACAGGAACATCAGCATGTGCAAAACCAAGAAACTGCTTCTTTTTTACCTGGCAACTAGCAATTTTCATATATTTCTTAGACTATCATGTACGGATATAGAGCCCAACATCACCACCCAAATAAATTCTTCTCTTTCTATAACAGCCACAAACTCAAATAGTACTATGGACTCGTTACATGTATGAACTCAAACCTCCAAAGATGACAATCACCCTATGTGAATCTCCTCAAGTAGAATGAGATGAACTTCTAAACATCGAGGCGCCTTTTAATATTACAATTGTTATTTCATCATAAACTCCAAAGTTAAGCATGCTTGTGTTGGAACACTCCAGGATGATTAACCTATCGAAAGTTACGTTAATGGAAAAAAATCGTGATGCCATTAGGCCAAACCAAATAGTATCTCGATGGATGAGAGACTCATTGAGAGTTTATGTTGTTACATGAGGGTGTTGGACTCAAGATTGATGACTTGTCCTACAATGAGGCCTTACATATTGATGCAACGAGCAAGCTCTACCAAAAAGCGGACGAAGGAATAAAGTACTTTAATGTAATAGTAGTTGGCAATGGTAAGCTATAAGGCTTGGCTGAGGGCAGCATAGATGAAAAAGAAATTACTGAAGGGAAGGCGAGGCGAGAGGTCCCCGTTGTCCATGCAGCGTTGTGGATGAGTGGTAGGTGTGGATCATCCCAATGGTGCAGGTGGAGAGCATTCTAGGGACAAATTACGACACGAGAAACTATAGCAATTCAAGCTAGTTTATTTTGTAATGATAAGTCTCTTTCTACATATTTTAAATACTTCAAAAGTTTATGAACTAATTTTACTTGATATCACATATACGCTAAGTTAAAACCATGCAATTCTTTTACTTCACACTCAAAGTATCTCCTACCAAATAATCTTTTATTAATTGAACTTATTAGGTGTTATATCTTTCCTTACCTATTATTTCTTTTTTATTGTTTTTTTTATTCTAGAATTCATGTAAGAGTTATTTATACTCCCTTTTATATCAATAAAAATAGTCCGCTTTATTCTGAAAATCAACATGATATCAGAGTCAAATTTCCTACCTAGCCAATGGTCCTCCTTTTAGGGCCACCGGACTCCCTTCCTGCCATCCTCCCTGCTGGAAGGGAGTGAGTCTCCACCAAAACTAGTCGCCAGCTAGTCGCCATAATCGAAAATCCTAAAATAGCTATGAGAAGAACCCTAGAGAAATCAAGGTGAATCATCTGGCGATTCCTTACGTTTCTTCTCCTTGTCGTCAGCGACAAGGAGCTCGACAGAGCCTCTTCACTTATCGTTGCGTGAATTGGAATGAAACTTATCTGATTAGGAGCTCCAAAAGACAGCGTATGAGATCTTTGTCGCCGTAAAATACAGCTAAAAAGCCGCTGACATACATTTTTTCTTTGGAAAGAGCGACAGCTGCATCGGGATTGGTGACGTCGTCACTACGACAGAGATCTCTAACTTTGAAAGTTGTCGCCAAGGTGAAAAAAGCGTTGGGGCTTAAATTGTTGCAGAAAATCCCCAGAAGGAAAGCAACCCCTCTAGGATGGTGAAGAAGCCAATGACAATTGGGGAGCTCATGAGGGTGCAGATGCAAATGTCAGAGCAAACTGATTCGTGGATTCGACGCTGGCTGCTCAGGATCAATGCTAGCCGGCTTAGGAGACATGTAAAATCATTCATTTTGCCACTAGAGTTAGAGCAAAAATTTAAAGCCTTTAGTTTTCCAGACCTGCAAGAGTATGAAGGAGAAGCGGAAATTTGAAGCTTCTTGAAACTCGATTGCTTCTAAACCCTCTCAAAAAGGCTTAGGCAGGTCATACGTGGAGCTTCAGAGAGGTTAATAGAGACTGGAAAGAATTCCAAAGCCTTTCTCGTCAACCTACCTGCTGCCGACAGACCTGTTACCAGGACTGTCGGATCTACTCCTCCTGCGGTTCTCTCCCTGCAATTTTTCCCGCCGCCAAACCTCCCTCCTATAGGTTTTTTCTGCCGCCAGATCTACCTCTATAGATTTTCCCATATAAATTTTGGTCAGTTGTATCTCTTCCGTGAAGGTCCCCTCACAGCCAGAAATCATCTCTTCCGGCTTAAAAACTTTCCTCCATACCTTACAGACACCTTCCTGCAGGCTGCAAATTCATGTTGGCTGCAAATTCTGGCAGCCACCTCTATGGCGCCCTCCGCCATTTTCACATACATGGATTTTGGAAATGAAAGGAAGATTGTTACAAATGACTTCATCTTTGATTTGCTTTCAAAACAACTTGTGAAAGGTTATTAGGCAAGACTGGATTTATTTCTGAATGGAATCTGAGTAACCGACCTATATATCCTTCTTAGTCAGTTTCTTTTTTACCATCGAAAACTCTATACAGACCTTCCTCGGGAACTTTTTTCTGCAGCAGGTCCACCATGTGAACTTTTTGTTGCAGCGGACTCTTCTCCAAAGTATTTTCCTGTAGCAAACCCTCCTTCGGTGCTTTTTCTGTAGCAAACCCTCCTTTTGGAAATGAAAGGAAGCTTTTTACAGATGACTTCATCTTTGGTTTGTTTTCAAAACAACTTGTGAAAGATTATTACAGAGGCAAGACTGGATTTATTCTTGAATGGAATCTGAGTACCGACCTATATGTCCTTCTTAGTCAGTTACTTTTTTACCATCGAAAACTCTATACAGACCTTCGAAACTTTTTCTGCAGCAGACTCGCTATGTGACTTTTTGTTGCAGCAGACTCTCCTCCGAAGTATTTTCCTACAGCAAACCCTCATCCAGAACTTTTTCTATAGTAGACCTCCTCCGGAGCTTTCTTATGGCAGACCCTCCTCCGGAGTTTTTTCCTGTTTCATGTCCTCCTCCAGAGTTTTTTTCTGTATCAGACTTTCATCTGGAGTTTTTCCTACAACAAGTCCACCAAAATTCTTCCTATAGCAGGTCCTCCTCCGAAGCTTTTTCCTACAGCAAACCTACCTCCGGAGCTTTTTCTTTTTTTCTGCGAGTCATATCATGCAACTTTTTTTGGATGTTGTCTACCTCCCTGCAAACTCTTCTGCAACATTACCCATAGAAGCTTTCCACCTACCAATAGACACTGCAGGAACTCCAATGAAAGACAACCACAGTTAACTTGAAGTCAGTTTTTTTTTTTGCAGATTATCAACATCCCTGCAAACACCCTGTAGCATTATCTATATAAGCATTCGCTTACCTACAAACACTGTATGAACTGCAGTCAACTAAAAATTAAATTTTCCTGCAGATTTTCTACTTCCCTACAAACTCCCCCGCAATACTACCTGTGGTGGCCTTTCGGCCTATCTACAGACGCTGCAAAAACTGCATTCAAAGACAACCGTAGTACGGGATGAAGACTTCAAGTTCTACTTCACAGGATCTTGCTCGCCTTTTATTTGATATCTTCAAATCCAGGTTGAACATGGTTTTGAACCATGTTCCAACTTGAGGGAGAGTGTTAAAAGTTATATTAGAAAATAATTTATTTCTGTTAGAAGTTATCAATATTAGATTGATTAATTGGAGATATCAGGTGTTATATTTTTCTTTTCTTGTTCATTCTTTTTTATTATCTTTCCTACACACACACACACAAATATATATATATATATATATGCATGTATCTATATATATATACATACATACATACATATACACATATATATACATACATATACACACACATATATATATATATATATATATGATATATATATATATATATATATGTATATACATATGTATATATATGTATGTATGTATGTATGTATGTTTATCCTCCCCTTTTTTGAATTTTTGTATCTATCTCCCTCTTTCTTCCATCTATATAACACTCTTCCTTTGCCTTTAAACTATTATCATTCTTCATCGTCATTGTTATTTTCATCATTACTACCATGACTACCAACATCCATAGAGTCGTGACTTGATGGACCTAGTCACAAACATCCTTGTCATCATCATTGCATGTACCATAGTTTTCAAGTAAACATGGTAGATTCGTGACTTGATGGACCTAGTCACAACCATCCTTGTCATCATCATTGCATGTACCATAGTTTTCAGGTAAACATGGTGGTGCCTACTTTGTACGCACCTCTCTCTATTCAAATGAGTCATAGCCTAGCTCTTGGATATGAATTTCAAATAACTCAGGTTCAAAATTTAGTTTTGAAACTAAGTCTAAGAATTTGAGATTGAGAGTTTCAAGACTTTTTTGTTCCAACATTGTAGGTAAAACTAGTACAAGGATTGGTAATTAGATCTCACAATAATAGATGTGAATACACCAAATACTTCCATTGCAATAGTTATACATACATAGATAAAAGATAACAAGATACATAGAAAACAACCGTAAAATCACTTCTAAACTTGTGTGTGTTATCATAAGCCTTAAGCTAAAATAATTATTTGATTTTAAGAGAATTGGGATGTTTTTTGATAAAGGAGTTACCTGATAAACTTTTACTCTTGTTCTATAATTGAGATTTTTCAAGGTGCCAGAATCTGATATGTCATCTTCGCCAGCAGTTGAAAAAATACCGCTACCGATCATCTCTTTCAACTTAGGACCAGAGAATGGTTTCCTATCAGTTCACAAAAGAATTGTTAAAAGGATAAAAGATAAATGAATGATAATTGAGTAGAATAAAATTTTCTAAACATAAAAATCCACAATAGTATTTAAGAGCCATGAAAATTACCATTAGCTAATCCAAAAATTGATAAAGATAATTTAGCAACCTAATAATATAGACATGTTGCAATGGAATATCGTAAAAAAAATCCAACTTTATTTTTTATCAATTAAATTATATTTAGGGTTAAATAAACCAATGCATTGATTGTTTTTGCTTAGGTTCCATTAACTTTGAATTAAATAAGTTAGACTCTTTTCAAATTCTTGAAAGATTAAAGAACCAAGTTTGAATATTTCCTAACTCATTTATTTAATGTTCAAAAACTAGTTAGTTTGTTATTTAAAAGCTTTAATAATTAAGTTCTACGATAAATCATATATTATTAAGTAAAATTAATTAAGTATAATATGTTTAATTATTTATTAATAACAACATATCATCTCTCGTCTCTTATTTCTAAAATTCATCTCTCATTCCATGCTTTTATGTACTATCTATCATTTTCAATATCCATAGTTGAACGCCTGCTTGAGCAATAGAACACTAGGGTCAAAATTTCTGTGAGCGAGCAACTATAGGCGCTATAGGCCCGCGCATCTTTTACCCTCATTTTCAACTTGACTGTAGATGTTAGAATTATTTAAGAAACTATTTTATTTGTTAATTAAAAGCTTGATGCGGGGCGTGATTTCTGAACCGATTCAGGAGGGAGCCGGTTCAATAGGGAGGCTGGACGAACCAAGCAAGCTTGTAAGCGAGAGATATCGCCCCTTTCTCCCTTCCCGTTTCTGTTTATTGCCCCTCCTCCCTTTCCTTTTTTGTTTGCCGCCTAAGGGATGTCACTTTGCTGCTCCTTCCTCCTTTTCCCTTTCTGTTTACCACCCCTCCTCCCTTTCCTTTTTTGTTTGCCTCCCAAGGGGTGTTGCTTTGCCGCCCAAAGGGGAGAGGCCTCCCTTCCAGACTATCCTCCATTATATAGTTGTTGTTTGCTTGTTTTGGACAGCTTTGGATTGATTCTGCTTTTAAATTTCAGCCCCTAGGCTTTCTTCCCAAGCTAGGGTTGTATCGGATGAGAGTTGGTGCTCCGGCTATATCCTGCTCCGAGGTGACCTATTCCCCTGCATATCTCTCTCCCCTACACGTTGTTCTTCAGCCGACGCCCTCACCTTCCCTGACTAATCGTTGCTTTCAATATCCATAGTTGAATGCTTGCTTGCGCAATAGAACAAAAGGGTCAAAATTTCTGTGAGCGAGCAACTATAGGCGCTATAGGTGCGCACATCTCTTACCCTCATTCTCAATTTGACTGTCGATGTTAGAATTATTTAAGGAACTACTTTATTTGTTAATTAAAAGCTGGTGTGGGGCGTGATTCCTGAACCGATTCAGGAGGGAGCCTTCAATAGGGAGGCTGGATCGACCAACCAAGCAGGCTTGTGGGCGAGCGATTCCGCCCCTTTCTCCCTTTCTGTTTCTATTTATTGCCCCTCCTCCCTTTCCTTTTTTGTTTGCTGCCCAAGGGATGTCATTTTGCCTCTCCTTCCTCATTTTTCCTTTTTGTTTACTGTTTCTGTTTACTGCCCCTCTTCCCTTTGCTTTTTTGTTTGCCTCCCAAGGGATGTTGCTTTGCCACCCAAAGGGGAGAGGCCTCCCTTCCAGACTATCCTCCATTATATAGTTGTTGTTTACTTGTTTTGGACAGCTTTGGATTGATGTTGCTTTCAAATTTCAGCCCCTAGGCTTTCTTCCCAAGCTAGGGTTGTATCAGATAAGAGATGGTGCTCCGGCTATATCCTCTCCAAGGTGACCTATTCCCCTGCATATCCCTCTCCCCTACACGCTGCTCTCCAGCCTACGCCCTTACCTTCCCTGACCAGTTGTTGCTTTCCTGTCCCAGTTCTTGTTGCTGCTTTCCCGCCCAAAGGAGAGGCCCCCCTTTCTATCCTCTCTTCCTTTATATAGTTGTTGTTTACTTGCTTAAGGCTCAGTTTTGGATTGATTCTGCTTTCAGATTTCCGACCCAAGGCATTCTTCTCTAGCTGCTCGACCGTTCAGCCCCCCCAGTCACCTTGCCGAGCCTCACACCCCATTCCCATCCTCTCCTTGCCACGCCCCATCTCCCTGTTTGTTCCCAGCCGAGCCGCAGGTTGGGCCTCCAATGCCTGTCACAATCGAAAATGGAGCAAGCTCCCTTAAAGCACACCACCACCCCTCCAAGACCCCATCACCGCTACCTGACGGGTCATCCTGATTTGCCCTCGCCGAGGATTCTTGTTGTGTTGTCTTTTCTTACCTAATTTGAGCCTTGTTTGTAACCTCATTAGCTCAGGTTAACTTCATTATCAAAGCTTTAATAATTAAGTCTACAATAAATCATATATTATTAATTAAAATTTGTTAAATATAAAATGTTTAATTATTTATTAATAGCAATATATCATATATTTACTTATTTTTTTAATTCCCGTATCTTAATTCTAAAATTCACCCCTCATTCCATACTTTTGCGTACTATAATTTTCAATCTCCATGGTTGCCTATTTGAGCAACGAGACACCAAGGTCAAAATTTATGCAAGCGAGCAACTACAGGCAATGCACACATCTCTTACTCTCATTCTCAACTTAACTGTAGATGGCATGTCAACAAGCACTCCATGAGCACACCATATTAGCCCAAAGGGTAAGAGGCCAGAAGGAGGTTAGGACTAATAAGGGCTTCAAATCCTACAACCATCACTAAAAATTGATTCCAATGTCTTGGTCCTCAATTCAAAGCAAATGCTTAATATTTTTTCTTTTACTTTACAAAGCACATCAAAATAGTTCTTTCATTTATTTTGCGAAAAAATATACTTTTAGCTTTCAACCATGCATACAACATCAGAAATAAATAAATCACACAAAATTGAATATAAAAAATAATATATTTTACCATGTCACATCAACATGATAAAAGATATTGCTAGTTGCTTATATGTAGTATAATACTGAATATTATGTTTAATTTGGTAGTTAGTTCACATGCCATGATAATATTAATAGTTCACAACCTCTAGCTTTTAATTTGCAACCAGTCAATTCGTCTCCAGTGTTGGCTTGATCAAACCAAAATGAAAGACTTCACCGTGATGGAACTAAAAATTGATATTGTAAAGGTAAAATACAATCATTACAAGTTATATATGAATAAAAGTAAAGATGGTGCAATAAATCAATATAAACAGCAATTATAAACTTGTCCAAGAAAGAAAAAAGGATAGATGCACTTCGCTGTGCTAATCTATAGTGGAAGTGTAATGGAAGTCCTGAAGTATAACAATGTTAAAATTTATATGGAGTATATCCCATGTGATTATTAACTTTCATCTTTACAATGGAATGCTGATGAATGTTAAGTATGTCTAATGCCACTTCTTAAGATTTTAATAATTCACAACCTCTAGCTTTTAATTTATAATCAGTAAATCAACATTTATTCTAGTGTAGGCTTTTCCATTGATAAAACCATTAATGACACTAAAGAGGCTGCTGTAGTTGATGCGGTTACAAATGTTGCTGAGTGTTCTGAAAATTGTTAATGAAAATAGTAAAAAAGTCTCCTTTAAAACAAGAAAGAGAGAATTTTAGAAGTTTAGAAAGATATCATTATGGTAAATGTTATTTTGACCCCCAATTAATGAACTAAGGTAAAAGGGTAATTTTGCAATGCGGCACCGCTCACCTACCACATCTCACCTACCGCTCACCTACCGCCCACCTACCTCCCACCTACCTCCCACCTACCTCCACCTACCACTCTCTTGCTTCTATAAATAGAGAGGGAGTGAGGCCTAGGAGAGCAAGGGGAAGAGATCTTAAGC